TATAATTCAATCATTTAAAACAACTTTGTTTACATTCAGTAATAAAATTTGTTTAGACTGTGAATTGAGTATTCAACTTTTAATGATTGAATTATAATGAAAGAAAAAATAGTACTAAAATAAAAACATATATCAAGCTAATACAGCACTTTTTTAGCAAGATTATTTGCTTCTTATAAAATATACCTTATAATATCAATATTAGATAGTAAACACTAAAAGTATTCAAATGAAGGGTTTCTCAATCTGAATTATTATACACATTTTTGTTTGTATCTTAAATTGGATCATAATGTATAATTATTCTTCAGTTTGTAAAAATAAGTCTATTACAGTTCAATTTGCAAATCTGAAAAAATGTGGGTATATGTAAGATATACGAAATACAAAATATTAATTTTTTTTAATTTCTTCAGAAAAATATGTAATGTTTCAAAAAGTCAAGAACTTCTAAAAATGTTTATATAGACACATAACATCTTTAAACTCTTATAACTTTTTTTTCATGTACTTCAGTGTAGAGCTAATAGTTCAAAAACAATTTTAAGTTTAAATTAGGTAAGTACAGTGATGCCTGCTTAAATTTTACAAAACTCAGAAGCCAGTAGGGAAATTCTCGCGACTAGGGGACAGTTTGTTGCTTCGAGCATGACTCGAGATGGACGCAGTACGATGAGCAGTGACGGTTAGGACTCGATACTCCAACGTTATACCGTGATTTAAAAACAATGAACATACACGCGACAAATTTCATTTTCACAATGGATTGCTAAGATGCTCCCGATTAAAACGAGTCCAAACATAACGTAAATTGGCTAGTTTTATTGATTTGAAACGTCCATATGTTTAATTTTGTTGTCTGTATTAAACCAGAAAAATTAGTCCGATTTTTGTCTTGTTTGGGCTAGTTTTAACACGTCGCGACCACGCGTCACACATGTGTGATACAGCAATTCGTTCAGAGAGCCCAGCGTCACATACTGTTATATCAAAATATCACACATATATGACACTTACGTAAAATGCTGTGTTTTGTTTATTTACCTTGTTTAAATGTATAAAAATTATGTTATTTATATAATTTTTATGTATGATATGTTATTTATATATCACGCGAAACAATTGCAAGAAAGGTACGGTCCACAGTAAGGGTATTTCAAATCTGAACGTGTTAATCGGAAGAGTCTCAACTATCCATTGGTACTACAATTATAAAAATAGGATTAAAATTATGGAAAATGAAATTTTCTTCATTAGATGTTTAGTTTTTACAGTCGTGGCATTCTATTGATGTGTCTCTGTTCCCTTTCTTTTCTTTGTATTCATTCTTTATCCTTACCTACTGAGATAAGTTCGTCCAGCTCGAGGAACTGACTAGTTGGAGAAGAGTGGGGATGCATCTGAGAAAAACCGTACGGATTTTATTGAAATTTATGCGGACATCACTGTAAATTTGTATATGTAACTTTTAGTTATATAATGAACACTTCATTAATATAATTTTACTGTAAATAATATAATTCAAATACTGTGGTATATGAAAGCAGTGTAGATGATTATTTTGTAAGTAGAAATGATTAGTGCTATCTGATAAAGACTTCCGCACGTGAGAACATCCGCTCACGTTAGCCAGATCATCGATTGTTTAGAGTGCATATCAGGTAACTGCGGGTCAAAGATTGAGTGTGTATTGTAGGGAATCAGTAGAAATCGTCAGAAGTACAACCTTAGTCGGTAACCGTCGTAATATTATTATTAAAATGAAATATAACTTAATTATATTAAAATTATAATAGCATTTAACTAACAGTTCGTATTTCCACATTATTCTATAATATTTCCGTTGTCCATTTTAACATGTGTATGGCATAGTAATAGTAATTTTTGTATTTTCAAAATTTTGAATAAAATCAAATAATTAATACAATATTTATTAATAAAAATTTGATAATTATTTATTTTAAGGGGCATCGCGGATATTAAAGGAAAATGTAAAATATTTTTTAACGAATAGCTCATAAACTATAAGAGGTCGTCAAATAATATATTTTTCTTAATAACTTCATTGACGACTTCTTATAGTTTATGAGATATTAAATTATTATAACGTGTATTATATAATATATTTATATACACTTTTAATTTTACTTGCTTTACGTAATGCAAAATTGGAATTGTTATAAAGATATAACGTGAGTAGTTAATATGCTAAGAAAAAATTCTATACTACATTTGATGCATACTGTAAACTGCATATATTACAATTACGTAACATAATAGTCATTTAAATAAATCAATAAATGGGAAAATATATAAATACGGCAAATTTGGATCAAAATGACCCAACATTCGTCACGTGAAGCTTAATATTACTTAATTTTTATATGTCAACAACATGTACAAAAAAGTTATCATTGGATTAAAATTAAATAGTATTAATTCCTTGCCGTATTATTTTCTTTTACAACTAAGCTTGTGTAACTTTTTACTATTAACAATTTGGGAGAAACGCAAAGAAATTTTTGTCCCATTATAAATGCAAATTTATTTTAAAGATACCAAAGTGGTAGTAACAAAACAGGCATTTACTTTGATCCAGGCGCAAAGAACAACGTTGATTTTTATAAAATTAAGTTAGAAAACTTCATCACGAATCCCACTTGTCATTGTACGGTAAGGGGTTAATATGACTATCCTTTCGTTTAATTTTTGAAGTATGCATTGAGCAGATAGTTTGTGATATGTATGAAAATAAATCACATATTCGTACATTAATTACTATTGCGGAAAGAGGTGTGTGCCAATCGAAGTAAAGAAATGTAAAGTTATCTTCGTGTAATGACCATTACTTTTAAATGTACTTAATGCATTAGGAACGTATTAGAATTAATAATAATTTATTTTTAATTCTGATTCTTTTTATGAATAATAAAATAAGATTTAATCCGCACCTGTCTGTCCAAGTTCCGATTTGTTGTAGATAGTATACTAGAACGTATATTACAAACAGCAGTCGATATTGTCACCGCTGGACTTTCCCCAGGAAAATAGCCAATATCCTAGAGCAGTACCAATTGCAACAGCCAAACACAGCCAAAAGTTGTATGTCATAAAAATTAACATAAGAAAATATCCGATGATCAGTTGTATTACATGTGTGACTGTTTGAATGAAATGTACTTTGGAGAAGAGTAATGTCCTGAAACAAAGTATACTCGAAAGGCACTCATGGCTTGATAAGATACGAATGATATAGGTCTTTATATTGAGATCAATACTTCTTTTATAATCTGTACACAAAAGTTAAACTTTGTAATTCGAAACTTGTCAGTAGTGTAAAAATATTAATGAACACTTAATAGCTATATGTACTATTCATGTTAAATATGTAAATGTTTTAATTAATTTCTTTTTTTTATTACGAAACAAAGTATTTAACTCTTGTAGTATTGAACATAAACTACCAGTTTTAAGACTAAAGTAATTTAACCGAGAGAATCGAAGTAAAGACAACATTTTTTAAGATACATACGTTCTTGATTTTTTACTTGTAAGTCTTGAAAGGCGTGCAGTCTCAATGTAAAGGTGATCGCTATAATATTTAAAGGAAAAAGACATAAATTAATATAGAGATTTATCTTGGTAAATATTTTTCCACTACTAACGTGATATTATTTACCGATAACTCTTTAATCCTTCATATATAGTCACTAAAAGTATAATTCCAAGCATTGACCATCCAAGCCCTTGCCAATCCACTACATGCCATTCGTCAAACAAAATAATTTCGTTTTCACCAATATGAAATGACATCTGATATAAATTTACTTTATGAATTGGAAAAACTAAATGTTTTCATTATAACATAAGCGTAACGTAGTGTGTCGATACTTGCCTGCATATTGCTACCGTAAAATGATGTATTCAATGTGGTCAAGCAGACTGCATGCACTTTAATACGATCGTCAAGCTCCAAGTTTCGTTGTTTTATCAAATCTTATCAAATCAGATAACATGTTTTCGTTATCATTTGTCAACTCAGGAAACGTTTACATTTAAAGACTTATATTACCTATGAATGAATTCCAGAACAACACAAGTCAACCAGTCAACATTTCGAAAAAATTAATCTTTCTTTTCATGTGTGTTCATTCATTCATTATATATTTTGTTGATCCTTGTTGCAACCATTGATTACAGGTAGATCCTTATTACGAATACATTTTTTATATTATTAAATAGGTCGGAGTAAGCTGAAAACGGTTACATCAAAAACTCATATGGATAACGTTAAAAAGTGGACTCGTTCTGTTTGCAGTTTATGAGTACATTTATTTCCGAGTAAAAATATATATATTTTATTAAATTATATAGGAAAGAAAATATTCCACAGTAAAGTATCACTATTACCTTCCTTAATTGTAAACAGAAATATAAAAAAATGATAACATGTATAATTTAAGTTCAGAGACGTTTCGTGGAAAAGCTGCAGCAATATTAACGTTAAATACTAAAATAGTATTTATGATATATTTACCAAAGACTTCCGAAAATATTAGTCTTTAACATTTGGCGACCAAATACGTGGAAGAGGAACAGTTAGAAAATAACCGGTTGACCATCATCGTGTCATAAATTCGTATTTTTGGAAATAATAAGTTCATGGTGGATCATAACGGTTCTTCAAGACCATCATGTGCTAGGAGAGTGAAATATCAGAAAGGTCCGCGAGATAGCCGAATTCTCTCCTACCCGCAGGCCAAAGGGTTGCTACTTCGTCCCTTTATTGAAACTAGGCCTTAGGCGCACTAGAGGCAATAACAGAACCTCAAAAGAATTAGTTAGCCGATTTTTTGGGTAAGAGAGTTTCAGATACGGAAAAACCTACTAGTTAACCCCTTGTCCTACAATTTAATTTCATAGTGGCACTTATTAGAACTACTTATCGTTAATAATGAAATAGTAAAACATAAAATTCCATGCTCTAACTGTGTGTAAATTTACTCTAAACCATAAAAATTGTTAATAAGAAAAATAATGTTTCGTTTGAACTAAAAATAACTGGATGCCATTTATAATTGTTAAACAATATTTGAAATGTTCGCTACGAGTCTGACACTATATTATAAGGCAAGGGGTTAAAATAATTTCGAGTAAACAACATTAGAGTTTTCTTGAACTAGTTAGATTTTGTGTTTTTAACAGTCTTTAATAGTGTTTTTAGCATAATACAATTTAATTAGTGAATTTGTAAAAAACAAATTCTGTTCCTTTAAATAAGTAAGTATACATTATTGTTAAAACAAACTTTTTAAGTGGGTGCTAAAACTTCTGTAGAACGTAAAAGACAATACTGTGTATGTATACATATAGATGATTCTATACGAAAAATATTAAGCAATTATAGGCACAGAAATATGGACATGTTAATCGTTAAGAATGATCTTGATACTTACAATTAGTGGGTGCAGTTAATAAAAGAACGTCTACTTATATGTATAGAAACATGAAGCATTCATTTTTAACAATATTAACATTTTGACTGCCACGTCATCTGAATTTAGATGACTCCATTTCTTATATAAATTTAAAAATTAATTTTCTTGGTAATGTATCGAATAAACTAAATTTTGCTGGATATATGAGATATAAGAAAGACAGCAAAAAAAAGCGCTATGAAGAATCTTGATTTCTTCGTTTCTGCTTGATTAAGTAAACTACTTCAATTGTATGGGAAACTTTCATGAGTGTTTATTTGCCAATGAACGTGTTAATACTATCAACATTAATGAATTATGCCTGTATTTAATGTTAGATAATATTTAATATATTTTATAATTAATGATTACATTTGAAACATTCTATTACCAAATACAGTTCAAAGTAATTTTTTTATTTATGTATAATCACATTGAATAATTAAAGTGGAAATTTAATCGTCGATTGAATTAATAACTAAATATTGAATTGTTGTATGTTTTTCTTATTTTCCGATTATACGTGAAAAGTTGATGAAAATGACACTGAAAAAATATAGTGAAAATGACTTTGATGTGCAAAATTTATAAGAAATATATCTATGTTAAATACAATTTTTATTATATTTCGATTGAAAGCTGACAAGTGATAAATAATACAGTGATTACTATATTATAGATAATGAAAGAGTGAATCTTGAGTAATCGAGACCTAGGAATAAATATATGTATTTAATAAAATATGGAAACAACACGGACAACACGTAAAAAGTACAACTCAATGCCACGGAGGCCAACACACGACTCTTCTCTCGCCACTCTCTTACAGACATTTTCTCCCAAAAATCATTCTCTCCCCCATAAGCATTCTTCTCACTCGCACTCATCATAAACACTCAGATGCACCCCTGGAAAGCTGGCCCTGCAATCTTGGGTCCGCGACGTTGTGCAGGCCACTTTCCCTCGACCGTTTTACAGCTTGTCCTTCACTCACACTCATTCTTACATTCACTCTTCCTAAAAATACCTTAATTGATTGAAAGTAATAAGTAGTAACTATAGATGAACTAATTAGCTGTTGCGATCTCTTTGAAAAGTGTGTACTTGAAAAATGTGTTGCAAAAGTTAAGTTAGTTGTATTATGACGAGTTTTGTGTTCGTCATAACACAAACCTTGCCATTTCTTCATGACGAGTATACTTGTCAAAAACAAGTAACCGGTTAATTTTATCAATCGATTAAATTAGTGACACCAGTTGACGATTCTTTTATTATAATCGTAAACATTATTGGATCAATCGAAGTACACATTTTTATCAAATGGAGCATGAAATTGTTTATATTAAATGAAATTTTGCACAATTTCAAATAAATAATTCAGCGAAAGTTCAGTAGCTTCGTCGTATTTAATTAGCTATAGACTATGTTGCGTCGTGCACCAATATAAGGTGGTCGATCATTACCACATTGCTAACCGGCAGTTTTACACAGAAGCCATTCGATGTTACCGGTTATTATTTCGTAATTAAATATGAAAGTGAAACAATCTAAACAAATTTCAATATACTATATGTATATATATAATGAATTGTGATGAAACTTTAAACACATCTGTTATATAACTCCAAACATTTTGCTCTTGCAATATTCTATATTGCCCTGTGTTTCAAAAATGAAAATTGCAAACACGAGTTAACTCGCAACCGATCAACAATGTGTTAAAAGATCGTGTTACGGCTTCGTACGGGCCGAGTTTATAACACGGGCGGGAACGTTCGAGCGCTAGGGATGGTAAGCTGAGGCCTGGTCTGTGGCCCATCATGGAGGTCCGATTTGGACTGCCGACCCGTTAGAAAGTGCCCCTGTCATAAACCAATCAAATTGTCACCCAGGGACGTAAGTAGGTCACTCGCGGACATACATTGTCGGTTAAAAATTTGGGATCGATACATCGGTTAAAAGAAAAACTTCCATTTTTTCCAAAAAAAATTTTATTGGAGAATTTTTGTGTATGATAAAGGAACATGAACATATGTGTATTAATCAAATATAAAGATGTACAGGGTTGACCACGAAGCGTGATCAGTTTAGATTATTCTGCTGTTAGCGGTTCGATTGGAAATTTTGTTAAAATAACATGATGCAAGGAGAGTTTTAAGATGATTGTACCAAATTTTTTCTCAAATCTCTTTTTCCAGAGTTATTAAGGTCGCCTTCAATACACGCAGATCACGAAATACTATTAAGAGTTCACGTTCGATATCATTTAATGTGTCTCAAGGTACAGAACGAAATGTTTACAAACAGTACGTGAAGGATCAAATCAATAACGACTAATACTAATCTATCAAGAGCTTTAGAAAGTTTCTCTTTAATAATCTTCAAGAATTTTTCAAAACTCTTCCAACTAAGAGTTTTCTTTAGTCTTTTTAGATTCAGAAAAAAGTATTTATTATGATGCTTGTCGAATTCGTTTCACTATTCCCTGAAAGATAGGCGTAAAAAAGTTGTAGATTTACCTGTAAAAAACTAAAGGTGACCTTTATAACTCTGGAGAAAAGGGGTTGATCAAAAATTTGTTGAATCGTCTTAAAGCTCTTCCTGAACCATGTTTTTTTGGCTAACAAAATTTCCGATTGAACGGTTAGTAACAGAATAATTTAAGCTGATCACGCTTCGTGGCCCACCTTGTATAATTTTTGATTAATGAAGGTACATATGGAGTGGTCCCGAACTTTTGATCGGCAGTTATGAACTCACACATGGGTCCAAGGTAACGGGACTTTCCGTCCTTGCCAGACCTGCGCTTTTCCCGAAAAACTCATCGACCTCTTGCATTCAGCCTTGCGGTCGTTCCCCTTCCACGCATCGAAGAAGGGGGCAAAATTCGTTACCTTAGGGGTGCAAAAGCGCCGATGAATATATTCGAAACGAGAGCCCGACACGTACGGTTAAACGTGACAAGGTTCAACGGTGGAAACCATGGAGAACTTCATATAGTCGAAAACGAGAGTCTAACGTGTACGGTTAAACGTGACAAAGTTCCACGTTCGGAACTATCGAGAATTTTCTCATTTCTTTTCGCGACATCATTCAGTTAAAAGCACCACTCGCTCCACCACGAAGATCCAGGTGCCCAAATTTAAGTAGACTGGCTCTACACAACCGTTCGAGGATAAAACGTATCAACCTTCGAGAACGCGTAGACATCACGACGATACAGACTATATTAATACATTTTTTATCTTGACAGAATACGTCTGATTTGTTACGATGAAAAGAAACAATCTATTGATACCTACGTGTAGACTGATACCTAGACTCTGCATTTATGCACGTTTATTATATCTATAATACATATAACATACCGTCTGTTCCAAAATGATAAAGTCACCATAAAAAATATTTCTAGCAATACGATGCATGATAAATAAAATTATAATATCAGGTTATTTAAATGTTTATGTGATACACAGTTTTGTGTTCTTGTTTTTTATGAAACTGTAATTA